CACCCTCGTCCACGCCTCTGAGTAGAGAGCGCGGTCGAGCCTCTCCTTGACTCCGGCCCTCTCCCACGTAAAGGGAGCCCCTTCGTAACCAGCGTCGATGAGCTCACAATCAGATACGGCATGCGAGAAATCTAAGATCTCCGCAGAGCGGTCCGATATACCACCCATGCGTTCATCGGGGTGCAAGAATATGTTGAAATCACCGCTAATCATACACGGTAATCCCTCCATACTCTCAGCAATCTCACGCATGGTGTCCCAGAGGTCATAGCGACCGACCCTCGCACAACTGGCGTAAACCAAAGTGTAGAGATCGGCTCCGAAAGATGGGCGGCGGTAAGCTTCACGTGCAAGACTTGATCAGTATCCCGAAGGATCTTACAAGTAAAGTCACGCGAGTGGAAAAACCAAATCTTGTTAGAGGTGTTTCCCATCCCGGCATGAAAACCGAGGCGCCGCGAATATACGTCAAAAGAAGGGTCACGAGTCATAGGCTCTAAGAAAGCCGCAAAGTCAAGGTTATGCTCACGTATGAGAGATCTAACATGAGCAAGGGTGGTCCTATTCGCCAGACAACGGGCATTCCATGTAAGCGATGTGACTGACATGTCAAATGTCAGTGGGGCCGCCTAACTGGAGCTGTCCGTGGTTAGGCTGTGTTTGTATGTCTGGTAGGGTCAGAGCTCGGCTAGCAGAGAGTTGCGCAGTCATCGATCTGGTCTGTGGTCTCCGGTGCTCTGGGATCTCCTGTAAAAGTCCCCCTCGTATAGGGGGAAACTCTTGGGGTAAGAGGATGAGCTGGAGGTGCTCCAATCCCTCGGAGCTCAGCGCCTGGCGCTGTGGGGAAGAAGGACCAGACCCACTAGCTGGGGGTGAAGGGTAAGAGGAAGGGAGGGCCAGAAGGGGTCGAGCTGATGGGCAAGGGAGTGAGGTAAGGTGGAGGGAGGGCTCTATGATCATGAGAGCTGAGGAGGAAGGGGGGGCCTCGATACACAATGGGATGACAGGAGACTCTGTCTCATCCACTAATAGATCGTCATCGTCAAAAGGGGAGCTGGTCGATGCTCCCAGATGGTCGAAGGAAATGTGAAACTCCTCCTCCGACTCCGAGTCAAGCACAGAGAAGCGGGAATGGGTAGCTATGGGAGCTGACTGGAGGGACTGGTGGGAGAAAAGGCCTGTAGCTTTGGCCTTAGGCCTATCGAGGTTAACCTCCTTGGGCAATGTGCCCTCAGAGGTGACCTTGCCCTTGCCCTTCTGCCTCTTCGGGTCGGGGTCGTGGGCCGAAGCCTTGCCCTTCCCCTTAGGGCTCATCGGGGCAATAGTGGAACCCTGCCTCGCTACACGTCGACGGAGGGGTAGAGCAGGTCGGGCCTTGTTGCCCTTAGTATAGCATTATGCAGCCCCATGTCCTACATGACTACATAGGGAGCAGAACGGTGGAACTCTCTCGTAGACCACTTTCTGGATAGTGGTCTTGCCTGCTTGGTCGAGCTCAATTTCCTTGATGATCTCGTCCCTAAGATCAACCTCTACGCACACCCGTGCGACGGATAACCTCGAGCGGTTTGCCGTAGCGGCATCAGTCTCAATGGGGTTGCCAATGCAACTGGCAATCGAAAAGAGGGCAGAAGGGTCGAAAAGGTGTGGTAAAAGGCCTGGGAAGCAGCACCACACCGGGACTATGGGAGATTCCTCAACGAAGGAGAAATCCGGGGTGTATTTAAACACCCGACCAGCGCATCCAAAGATATTGAGATGCGTCTTAATCCAAACCCAGTTGTAGTCCTCTTTCAAATAAAAAAAAGAGTAAATAATGATTATAATTCAGGAACTTAGGGATCACTCTACCCTTGAGACCCAATTTGACCAAACCGACAGATAAATCCCGGAGGGAAGGGACAGTGAAAGAAAACTTCAAAATGAGTGCATTATCCAACGACTCAGTTAGGGAAATAACAGTGGGCTCAGGGAAACTTACCTTGAACCTACCCTCCTCGGAGCGGGTGACGGTTCCGCTCTGCCTGTCCCAAAAGGTCTCCAAACTCTGATGACCCGGTTTGGCGGTGGAGGTGCCAGAAACCGCATCCCGAAACGATCGGGTTCCAGCGGGGTAGGAGCTTTGGTTCTCCGGATGGGGGAATGGTGTGGCCGTGATTGGTGTCTGCACATTGAAATCCATAAAGTTGACGAAAGTGGTATTCTTCGGTGGCAAGGTGTTTGCCGAGGGGGGGCCATGGCCTAGAATCCCGGCCTCGGTAAGGATAGATAGGCCCGACCCGGTTGTTTCCGGCGAGGTGTTAAGAGGGTCGACAAGTGGGGGAGACATTCCGCCAGAAGTCTGTTGGTCTGCGCCGGAACCGGCGCCGGTGCCGGAGGTTGGGGTGCTGGTCGGCTGTGAAAAGTTGATGTCCGCTGTGGGTTGGTTTGTTGGTGGGGGGGATA